GCGTAACGAGGTTTATGCACAATTACATACGTAAGCTAATTAGTGAACAAATAAAATCTAATCTCAGTAATCGAAGTTAGTGGTAGTTATTTCTCAAGGCTGTACGATAATACCTTATGAATCCTTACACGTGGAAGCACGCACATGTTGTGTTGTATTTTGCTCAAAATTAATACAAATAGTTTTCAAATGTTATACAAATCCTACAAATATTACGAACGCGAAAATTTGTACGTTTGGTTGTTTGTTTGTTACTCCTTCACGTCAAAACGGCTGATGGGATCGGAATGAAATGTGGAACAGCGGTAGATTATGGTCTGGAATAACACTTGGTTACTTTTTTCCTCGGGGATGCGAGCGACGCCGCTGGCAGAAGCTAGTTGCTACATAAATTAGCTCTTGTTTCTATAAGCCTTGATTGAGAGTCTAAAGTAGCTCTCGTCTCATCGAGTATCATTAGAACGTTATTATAATAAAATTGTGAAAATAAAGTATATTGCGAAGTAGGTAAGAGCCTGCTTATCGCAGAAATAGAATTTCTGTGAAAACACTACTAATTGGAAATGTTCCATAGAAATGTTCTTGCTTTTTTATTTGTTTTAATAAAAACGTTTTGATTTATATTGTTTTATTATTGTTCTTTTGTGATTTTGTTTCTTCTTTGCGTTGTGTGGTTCCGTCCTAGGATTTTTTGTTTGGAAATATTTGCTTGGTTTAGTACCAGCTGACATTAACGTGTAGTAGTACTAAATAGTATTGAGCTATGTATAATTCTATTTTGTATACTTTAATAATAATTGTGAACAGTGCAATTGTGTATTATGAAACACTGAACTCAAGTTCGTTTGTTTTATGAGGGCCCCAAAAATATTTTTCAACACAGCGTAGGTTCGAAAATCCTTTAAGTATCTAATTTGCAAATTTTTCCTTTTATAAGCCGATTTGGAATGTAATTTGGCCAATTATTTAGCTCTCAAATAGAACGTAATTTTCCATAGCAATAAGGTATTAGAAGGTATCGGGGCGAAAACGAAAATAAGCAGATAATAATGATGTGCCGACGTCAATAAAATCTGACTTATTTTCTCCACCCCGACCACGCTCCGCAGATATTCATTTTGTTTTGTTTAAAATTTCTCGTCTGCTTCACCGTTCAACTAATTTTATTTTACATCAGAATTTTGTAATGGCGTTTCTTATATTTCTCAAGAGTTTCAGACAAATACATAATTCCACATCCATGCTGGATACATGACTGAGTACCTAGAATGATTTGTAAGTTCATGTTAAAAAACTGGCGCATCGTGTTGACGTAACTCTGGTACAATATCATTTTTCCTCTTATTTCTCGTATTTATTTTTTATTTATTTAAAAAACTTTATGCACACAAACAAGTACATGGGTGGACTTAATGCCGCAGGCATTTTCTACCAGTCTGACCCTTGGGTGATGCAGAGAAAATAATCAGCGGGTGCAAGAACATGCTTTGAATTTAATTGTTTGAAAGAACACATATAGGTATAATTCGACAATATACACAATATATATATACTACAACACAACTATATATATATTGAAGAATACATACCATATAACTATAATATGTATATATATATATACACACATAGATACATACATACATATATACATAAAATACATAAGGTATAGTCAGTGTGATGAAGCAGCCAACCTCGTCAGGAGAAGCTCACGAACCTTCTGCTTGAAAGTTAAACGACTTTTCACCATTCTGATATCCTGGGGGAGCGCATTCCACAAAAAAATAGCTTGTACGAAAAAGGAAGAATGAAGGAAGTCAGTACGGTGAGTAGGACATTGGAGAAGTCGATTATGAGAAGAGCGAAGATTTTTATTGTGGTTTGCGCATATGTATTGGAAGTAAGGGGATAGATAATTCGGGGAAGAAGGCGAGTCTAAAAAGGAGAATAGAGTGGTTAGCGCCCTTTGCTCCCTGCGTTGGCGTATGGGCAACCACTTTAATTGCAACCGATGTGCAGACACATGATCATATTTACGCAGATTGAACACGAATCGAATGCAGTTATTTAAAAGTCGGTCAAGTTTATTGAGAAGATCTGCATTCAGGTCGAAGTAACACACGTCAGCATAGTCAATAATAGGAAAAACCAAGGCCTGCACCAGCATAGCCTTTGTAGCGGAAGGAAGCAAATTCTTTAATTTATATAGTGCCCCCAGGGACCCGGTGACCCTCTTACATACACTAACGACCTGTGCATGCCACCTTAAGTTAGTATCTATGCACAGCCCCAGATCCTTAACGTCATTACTGAAAGGGATAACGGCATTGTTAAAGATGACCGTTGGTAAATTAGCCTTGTTAATCCCGCTCAGCGCACGTGTGCTACCTATAATTATTGCTTGGCATTTAAGAGGATTTACTGCTATGCCAAACCTTTCAGACCAATTATTAATGGCTGCCAAGTCATCATTAACCCTCAAAATAGCATCAGACAGCCTTTCGACACCAGCCTGACAGTACAGCTGCAAGTCATCGGCATACAGATGGTACGCACACCGAAGTTCAGAAGTTATGAGATTTATAAAGATGGAAAATAAAAGAGGAGATAGAATACCGCCTTGAGGAACGCCAGCTTTTAATTCGCACCAGTTTGATGATACATCATCCAGCTTGACCGACTGCTGACGCTCCTGAAGATATGAAGAGAACCATTCCAGTGATGTTCCAGAGATCGTAAGATGGGATAGGATGGCTAAAAGGATATCGTGACTGACCATATTGAAGGCATTCGAGAAATCTACTAAAACTAGAACAGTAGCTTTCGTGTCCTCAAGGCCTGCTCTAATATCGCCAGTCACTTTAAGGAGGGCAGAAACAGTGCTGTGTCCAGGCCTGAATCCAGATTGGAGAGGGCTGATGAGTCCATTGGTGTAAATAAATTTGGAAAGCTGTTTGTGGACACAGGCTTCAAGGACTTTGGACAGGAAAGGGAGTATTGATATAGGCCGGAAATGAGAGGGGACCGTGGGAACTGAGACTTTTGGAAGTGGACGAACAAAGGCATTACGCCACAGGGATGGGAAGGTGCCGGAATAGAGGGAGAAGTTTACTATGTGGGTTATCGCTGGTAGGATGTGATCCAGAATTGTAACAATCATGTGGCGAGAAATGTTATCACAGCCTACCGCTTTGGACTTTATGGACAGGATTATCTTACCGACCTCCGACGACTCAACAGGAACGAAACGAAAGGGTGTAGGAATTTCGGGGCGCATCAGACCAGTGATATGTGTCACAGTACGTTCCTTGGCTAGAAGATCCATAAGAGGGACTGTGGAGAAATGGTTATTGAGATCGTCCAAGCCAATTGTGTTGGGGAGGTCTGGATATTGCGCTTTGCCGACACCTAGAGTTCCAAGGAATTTCCAGATATCGGCAGGAGAAGAATGAGAGATATTTTCGAGAACATGGCGGCGTTTAGCGTTACGTACCAACTGGTTACACCGATTTCTTGCAACCTTATAGGCTGCCCAGCTTTCTTCCGTGCGGTCTCTGCGATGCTTGCGAAAGGCTCGGTCGCGGCGCCTCATCGCCATTCTGATCCCTTGCGTCATCCATGGTGCAGGTGGCCGCTTAATCCTCACCCTCCTAATGGGAGCATGGCGGTCATACAAGTCCGTTACCTCAGCATTGAAAATTGCCACTTTATCATTGACTTCAATCGCCTCCATTAGAGGCTCCCAGTCAATCATTGACGCATCATCATATAATTTTGCTTCATCCATTCGCGCAAAGCAACGCCTGTACAAAACCTTGGGCTTCACCCTGGGCGGTTTTAGGATGTAGGAAAGGAAGATCAGGTCATGGTGAGAGAATCCAGGTGCGTCATGTTGACCATGACAGGATACTAAGGAAGGATTGGAGGTAAGGATTAGATCAAGCCAAGAATCATCACCCACAATGTTGTGGTGGGTGGGATTGAGCGGCAGTATATGAAAATTGGCTGACTCAATTATATGAAGGAGTTTACGGGATCGATGGGATTCGTGGGAAAGGAGATTAGTGTTAAAATCGCCCATGACTATGTGATGCGCGTACCCAGAACCCAAAGATTCAAGAACCGATTCGAAGTCAGTGAAATAATCAACAGTAGGAGGACAGTAGACAACTCCCAATACAACTTTCCCCCCTCGGCTACAAACTTCAAGGAAAAGATACTCCGCGGGACAGTTGGGAGAAGAAGAAAAGAGGACCTTATACGAAAATTCGCTCCGGAGATAAATACCAACACCACCCCCTCTCTTAACTGTGCGGTCATTTCTTATTAGAACATAACCTGGGAGAGGGTAGGTTGTGGACAGCAGTGGTGGTTTGAGCCAAGTTTCAGATATCAGAATGGCGTGGACATTGCTATTATTGAACGTGTCAAATAAGTCGCTGTGGTGGCTCGGAATGCTTTGTGCATTTATATGGCAGACGTTTAGCAAGCGATTATTTCTATCGACAAAACGATTATGAATAAAATCAGTCAGGGAGTCAGCAACAGAGCAAAAGCTGTCACCGTCAGAGGATACGTTGGCTGTTAAAAAAGAATCATCATCAGACATGAATAAAATAAATAAATATATGAGTATTAGATATAGATATAAGTAATTAATATGAATATAAATGTTACAAAAATAATCCGCGTCACAACAACCGGTAATGCAACCCTGCACCACCCGCCAGCCAACATCAACAGAAAAAAAAAACAAAACAAACAACAAAACGTAAAAATAATAATTGAACCATAAACAAAAATACTCCGAAACATAAAATCATCAATCGTCTCCAAAGTGCATCCATGCCCCTATGACGCTGAATAAAGTAAAAAAGATTAATTATAAACAATTAGTAAAGCAAGAGAAAAAAAATAGTAATTTTTACATAATCCAATACAAAACAAAACCAAAATAAAACAGAAAAAAAAAAAGAAAAACAAAATTTTATGGGCCATAAAGAAAGCATAGACCCTCACTTCAGAGTCGTGCAGAGACAAGACTTTGTGATAACGTCACGCCAAGTGTCATCTGTCTGCCATCCGTCATGAAAGATGACACATGACAGCCGCGCTACACAATCAAAATTAACAAACACCTTACAACAAATAATAATGCCGGCAAACAGCAAAAGCGATGTAAAAAATATTAGAAGAGTGAACAAAGTGATTGTGGAATATAGTTGCAGTATAAAGGAGGTACAACAGAATACACAAATCCACTTAGTACCTACTCCTGTGTACATTGAGGCCATGGGCAACAAAGACATTACCAACGAAAAAAAATTACGGTAAAGAGATGAAACAAAAACCTCAATAAGTACACAAGAATAAGGTATTGGCTGTGACATTACCAATGCTGCCAGTCGGTACTTATCTGCGTGCGTTTTTCAGGTTCCCGCCAGACTCTTCTGTACTCCGCTTAGCAGCCGAAGTGGACGAGCTTTGCGTGCTCGGGTACTTGGTCAGCAGAGGACTCAGCTCGCCCATCGTAGTCACTCTGCATTTACGCCCATCAGAAGTCTTGATGTAGATAACGCCATCCTGAGTCCAGCAAGCCCGCATACCGAAATGCTGCCGCGCCTGCACGAAGATATTCTGCCTTTCCTTTGTTATGAACTCTCTGATGGTGATCTTAGTCCCTTTTAATCTGGATTTGGCCCGCCATACCGTCGCTTTAATATGCACATCGGCAAACCTGACGAGAAGAGGCCTGTGATGGTCAGAACTAGCCTGTCCCAGCCTGTGAGACACCTTTATGGAAGATGTGGTGAGATTTAATCCCAGTTTCCCGTTGATAACATCCAGTGCTGCCTTATTACAGTCCTCATTCTCACTTTCAGGTATGCCCTGGATAATCAAAGCTTTTCGACGGCTCTTTGTGGCGAGCCAATCGATTTGCCTGGAGCAGTCTGTTATCTGATGTCGCAGGAGCTTCAGCACACCGTAGATGAGTTCCCTGAATGTACGGAATTCTTCAGCCAACTTTGAAATGGTGTCCTTGGCAGGGGCAGTTGCCTGGATCTGAGCATTGACTGCTTCCAACTGAGTCGTGACCAGTTCCTGCAAAGGCGTGAACCTCTCCTCCAGGGATTTCTGTTTTGAGCGGACCTCTGCTATTTCTGACATTGTGAAGTGTGCACAAATTGTGGATAATAAAGTTTTTGATGTGCTGGCAGGTGGTGTGCCAAGTTGTTTTTATTTACTCAGGGTTATGGCAACCGTAAGTACTGGTTAATATAATATAATCAAATTATAAACTATTAAATATCTATTGAATATAAAATTTAAATTTCTATAAAATTAATTTTGACTCGCAAAAAATACGTGTTGCCTCTTACAAAACCAACCCGCGAAAAAAAAACTCGTATTTCTACCTAATTAGGGCAAGCGGTATCGGAGAGGCGCCGCGCCGCCCTTTCGCCGTGCCGGCTTGCACTAACAACCGTTTCAAGCACGGTTTAATGCCAATTACCTGCTCGCTCCATTGTTCCCAGCGTCAAGTATCTCCGCCCGACCTCCACCATTCCGCCGTGCTAAGAGATTGCTCTACTCGTTTGCAGAATATACTTAAATTAATTGCCTGTATCAGAAAACGTTTCATTTTAAAATATCGAAATTTATCTCATAAGTGGAATTTGAAATACAACTCGAGATCGTATATTGCACAATATTTAATATCGTCCTCCTCCTTTGCTACCAATACTTTACGGTAATATGAATCCGCGCAGTAAATCGTAGAAAGTACGCAACGAAACGGGAACGGGGGAAGCGACGGCGAAATTAATTTCACATGATGAATGATGAACGATGACGTTGCAATTTACAATTTTTTTATCGAAAATATCAAAAGTGTCTTGTGTGCAACGTATTTTGTTTTTCACCTGATACTCTTGTTTGTGTAGACAGAGTATATTGTTATCTTAGAAAATAAAGCTGAATTATCGTTTGATCTCAATCGCAAACTAGATTTAACAATATCCTTCGATAATCTTTTTATAACAAGCAACCGTTACTGGTTTTGCGATGTTCTCAGAGGACCTTTCATAGAATAATTCGTCATATCAAACCCTTTATTCAGCTAGACAACATCAAAAGATATGACAGCGGGGACAAAGGCGTACATACTCGCTACGGAAACTGTACCGGGATTATCCCACCTTAAGCAAACAACCGTCCACAAAGCTCAGACAAACTGAGAGCACACGAGAACTATGCTAACGAAAAGACGATAAAACCTTTATCTTATTACGGATCTACTCTCCCCGAACCCGTGACGTGTGCGTCACTTTGAACCCGATCCTATTTACGTGGATTTGTACCGGCACTTTTTGTAAACGGTTAATCTATTTAGTGCACTTTTTCACAACTGTTAACTTTGAATACGACTTTCCAAAGTCTGAGTGCTGTCTGGGCTGCGGTCCGAGGTGCAACATATACGATACAGCAATAGATAAATCGTATATTTTTAAAGGTTTCCGTTGTCGGCTCGTAAAGAATGATCCGGCGTCTCGGGCGACACCATTACTTCTCGTGGCACATGAAAAATTCATATAGCAGCCGTTTGATCGCGTTAACGTGCGGCGGCGTCGCGCGCGCACGCCTCTAGGGGGCGCTAAGCGCGGCTTATGGCATGCCGCTCTCTCTTATGCTTGTTTTAAATGTGCACTATAACACTTATTCATAATTTTACTGTAAAATATATAACAGTAGTTATCATTTTATGAAATATCGATACGGAAAGGGAACGGCATCTTCAGAGAGTCATTTGTGATGTAATGAGATATCTTAAATTTAAATATCTTGAGACTACGAGCAGAATAGGTTCTCTATAACTATATTTTGTGACACATATGGTTTTAACCTGTACAAAAAACGAGCTTTTATTCGTCATTAAAATAAAAAAAACTATACACTATATATCACTCAAAGAGCGTTTAAAAGCTTTTCTGCAATTTATAAAAAAAATCGACATCGAAGTTCCAAAATGAACAAAACCTTTTCATTATATTTCCATGAAAATTGACCATGATATATCCGTTTGTGAAGGATTCTGTTAACATTTATTAGTAGTAAGTGAAATATGAAGATAATTGAATTCATAGAAATTCACTTCGGAACATGATAAAATGATTCATTAAAATGTAGACCACGATAATAGTTTCGGAAAATTTAAGAATGTACCACTAGATAGTAATAGTACTCCTATACCACACACATGCACACGTACACATACAAACACACTCACTCTCATGCACACTTACGTTAGTATGTATTTCCTAAATAAATTAACTTAGGTTCGTAAGAATATAGCAATTTAGTCCCTGGACAAAAAATGCATCTGTGATGCCACAGGGACTGCAAATATTACCTTCGTATGGACTGTCCCAGGTAATTGGATTGCCCACGCTGATCCAATTACAACCTAATATCACCTTTTTATTTCTTACTATAAGAAAGTTGACTGTATATCTTGTATGGAACTGAATTTGGTTTGATTTTGTTTGATAATGACTAATAATTTTGTTTTAGTGGACTTACTCCAGATGCTTGAGTTCAACGTGACTGTGTCTTTCCCGGCGGCACCGCTTCTCACTGTCATTTTGGCGTTAGTCGGTAAGTACATCTTTTCTTTGGATCCAAAGATGGTGGAGGGATTTTTAAGAACGTGTTTTGACAACTTCTTCGATTTACTATAATATATTGTTTTGTTTCGAACTTAAACTCCTAAGCATTGGGCCTTTGGTGACTTTCTATCGGACATTACTTAACTTAATGTACTTTAAAACGTAATCAGAATATAAAAGATAAATCAAAAACAAGGAGGCACTGTAATAGTAAAATTACACAGTGGTTTTACCTCTACGTCGATTATTAATATTCTAATAAAGACAGTCTACAAATACGGAGACGATAAATTCAAGACGTCTTCAAAACATCTTGTTGAGCGAAGTATGAAGAGCCTTTACACGCTCCCAAAATACGTAATGCACGTAAGAGGTGTTGGTGTGGGACAAGTTTGCACTTTACATATTATGTTGAGGCAAATTAGTGCTACATAAAGCACGTGAATAACTCAAGGTGCTTTTCGAGGCAACAGATTAATAGCTGCGACATCGTGCAGGCACAGGCTCAGGGGAACTTCCAGCTTGCGGGAATGCGGCCCGTGCAAACATACACTGTGCATTTACATATACAGGATGGTGATGTAGAAAAGTAATGCGTGTTTGATGATAGAGACGAAATAAACATTTGAGTATCTTACGGACTAGGTATCAAAGGTGAGATGTTGATCAAATTGTTTGAGCTAAAGCGACATCTCTCATGTCTTGGTGTTAAAAAAAGTTACTTTAGGTAAATACTCTTAAGTGTGCTTTGCAATATTTTGGCCGAAAAATCAATTCGATTTCGACACAGCCTGTAGTTGGAAAACTTATTATTATGTTACGACTGTGGTACTTAGCATACGAGTATAAGCAGCTCTTGGAATGGCACTTGAAATGCACACGTTCTGTGCAAAGCTCGGCTCTTTGATGTTCCTAGCTTTGTAAAGGTACAGAACTATCTTTTTAAAGTGTTGAAATCGTTCTCGTTGGTAGACGCCATTATTGGGTGTACACTCTTGTTATGGAAATATAGAAATATTCAATGAGGAGTGAAATAATGGTATTGAAACATCTCTTAAATAGGCTCTTAGTTATGATCTTATAGTGGAACTGCAACTCCATAGTAGCGCGTCACAGGGCGCAGCCATGACTGCGTTGGTCCCGCGTTGGGCGCCAGTGGCCCCTACCAAGTTTTACCTTTGCAGCCTTAACCATTTTTTCTTTTTCCTTATGTACGAGAATTTGGTGTGTCGAGTGTCTTGGCACGTTAGTAGGTCGGTCGATTCAACAAGTAAGTCGGGCCCGGCGCCTGTTGCGCGCGGCGGGCGGGGGCGGGGCGCCTGTTGCGCCTCACAGACGCCTCAACCGCCCACCACGTAACGCCTGTGCTTTGTCCATAATGGAGATACTTTTGACCCACTTCTACATGATCGTACATTGGGATGGCGGATACCCCGATATGGGGCTCGTAGAAAAGGGCTCAATGTGAATAGTCGATTGGTGAGGTTTGCGGCTCGATACAAATGACTATTATGGAGTTCGGTCGTGTTGGGTACAATTTTATCTGGATTATTTATTTCCTGTATCCTCTTGAATATTGAGATGGAAATAAAATAGCTGTGGCGTCTGTGTGCAAACTTATTTGGTGTTCTTCATTTTTGACTATTGTTATTGATGTTGAGACTTAAGATCATATGTATAAGCCTCTTTTGTATTTCGTTGACCATCAAAACTGGTACCTGTCAGATTCAGATATGGAATATTGTTGAGTAATCTCAAAATCTTTAAAAGTTTGACTAAAAACTTCATGTTCTGCTTTTACTACATTGTTTTTTTCAATCATCAAGCTTCGCCTAATGACTTCTTTTCTTCAATACAACACAAAAAATGACAATGTACCTACTGTGAGTCGAATCTATGTATCTCATCCTCAATTTTACAAAAGTACCAATGTTCAGCAGTACTGTCGATGAAGTAGAAATAAATAATTATTATTCACTTTGTTCTTGTAAGGAGTTCCAGGGCCGAATTTCATCAAATAATAAACAAGCAACGGCTTCTTGTACGTACTTCGTAAACAATAACAAAAGCAAAGCTAAAAGCTGCCTGAAGTCTTCGCTAATGAACGATTGATTCGCCTTATTAGTTCATATTAAACCTTATTACGAACTTTATTAGATTCATATTGTAAAAGCACTGGATTTCAAATAAATTAAGACATTGTCTTGGTTTCGCAATGGTCTATTTATATTTTGACTTAATTTGCAATTGAGCAATTGATACTAGATTTTAATCTGGTTCTAGATTTTGTATAAATAGGTAAGTTGGCCTTTTTGTACAAGTTTATATAAGGTCATTATATCTTACGTTGTTTAGACTTATTATACTTGTTTAATACATATAATCACGCATTGTAGAAGACAGAGATACTTCAAATACCTTACTCTTTAACTCGTCGAGTACCGGTTTTGTAGACACAATTATAGAACAATAGGTTGCGGTCACCGGTGACCGCTTGGTGTTTGACAGTTTAAACTTGCTAGCGATATATAATTTTTCGAAACTTTTATTTTAGATACAATAAACGAGTCCACATGTAAACGATTAACGATAACGAAGACACTATAAAATGAACAATGCTATGTAATTAACAGTACATTCAGAAAGGCCTTTTGTCTAGAATATTCTTAAAGCCTTTGTAAGTAAATGTTGTTCTGTTCAACTGAACGAAATGCAATTTCCTACTTATAAAATTGTTATGAAATAATGAGTTCAACAAAGAACATTCACCAAATGAAACAGTGAAAGGAATTGACATTTTCTTTGCCTTACCTCTTTCTTCAGTATTTATTTTTCATTTGTTAAGCTAATAGAGATTTGAAAAAGATGGAAATAGTATTTTAAATAGCGTATAAAAACTGTATTTATTTTAATCATATTCCTCGAACCTCTTTACCGACTTTATTTTAGAGTCGTTCAAATCCCATCAATTTGGCGCCCAAATACACCACTGAATGACGAGACCCACTGTCATCGAACATAGATTAAATGTAACATTCCTTATTTAATATAAATACTTATACTTTGTCCGATCCCGTAATCTCCCGGTATCCTAAACCTTACTATTCGCACTTTTCATCCAATTTTTGTGTTGCTATAAAGTAGAACATGTACAAAAATACAACCACGATTTCAATGTAAGCTAATAGAATACACTGCTAGCTCCATCTGACTCGATTATATGTTACGAGCTCGCTCAGAATTTCTAATCTTGAAGTTGGACACGTGTGCCTTTCTGCATAGCGTATCGCCAGATTAATATCATCCTCTAACTCGTCCACATCGTATGGGTTCCGACAACTTTCAAATTCTACCGCATATTGTGTACCCTGTACTGCGACCGTATGTGCCCAGACAGGAATTTATTTACTTGCTGTCAGGAATTTATTTTGTATTCCTTGGTGTATGTTTTATGCAGGATGGGATAAAGTTTGGCTCTCGAATATGCTCTTTAATATTTGGATTTTAGTAATGGAATTTTTATTTTTCGTTAAACCTAATATTGATATTGGGTAGAACTTGCGCCTGTGATTGCAAATAAACTAAAAATACACTAAGCACTGCCGTAAATGTTTAAGGATAATTTCATAACCTTGACCTAAACCAAGAAAGATAAGTAAGTAGTAAGATTATTTTATATATATTTGCATACTTAATCCTTGCTCGTACTACATCATGTGACTGTCTGAATCCTCAGGGATCTCCCTCACAAAGTAGATTTGATAATAATAAGTCTTCAACTAATAAAACTCTATAAAAATATGTCATCTTTTCCATTCCTCATCTCTTTGACGTTCTTTTTAGTAGTCATTTCGGGAGGCTTACGCATTTTAAATTTCAATCTGTCCCCGACGATGCTATCGTGTGCCGCTCGTCTCCGGGTCGCCACTCGTGAACTCTGAAAAATGACTACCTAAGAGATTATTTTCAATCCGTTCTTGGCAGCCAACGAGATGTTCGGCATATTTAATAAGCCTTATTATCTACATCATTCTTGTCCGCGGCGAGTCGACGTTTCAATTAGGTACATCTAGCTCAGATTATGTTCTTCTTAAACTTTGCCTGAAATAGTTACCTATTTGATACTTTTACATTGATTTTAGACCCAATATTATTTTAGTCCCAACTCGCAAAAAAAGGAAAATAAAAATCTCGTCAATGTATTCGACGAACGCCGAAAACAATAACGATGAAGCAAAGGTGAGGCACGGGCGGCCTATTTCACTAGAGCTCCTGTTTTTGTTTGCTCGCGCATCGCATCACGTTTTCCGCGAGCACGTACCGACGCGCATGCTGAATACTAATGGATAGCAGAGGATAGACGCCGCTCAGGTCGCGCGTCCGAAAATTGGATTCGCATCGCATACACTGCACATGGTATTAACGCCCGGCCGTCCGAAACAATGCCCAATCAAATGGAGTGCGCCTTCCGCGTACCATTCAGTTATTATATTGCTTGGTGAATTTTATTCAAAATTATTTACGCTAATTGAATTGACAAATCAATGGATGTAGAAAAAAATTGGATTGTAAACAATTTTTACACAACTAAGAGTCATTTGATTTGACAATGATTTCCGATAGTATTGCATAATAAGGCTTGTGGAGCGCGCGTGACGAATTATAATCTGCTACGAAGCAGTAATCCCAGCACATCGGCGCGGAGCATGAATCACGGCTGTTTGTACGTTGCACCACACAGTTACCGGTACACGGCCGCTCACTGAATTTGATTGTCATTTTCAGTTTTAACTCTTTTGACCACTAGTATTTTGATGCAGTCTTTTTTTTTACTTAACTCAATATTATGTTTTAAGTTCAGCGAATAAAAACAAAAATATCAATGTTACAAGAATAAACTTTATCAATTAAAAAACTCTCATATGAATATTGTAGATGTCAAAATCCTGAAATCTATTAAGTTCTGAAACGCTTTCTATCGTTTTAAAT